CGAGGGCCCCAGGGCCAGGCAGGTGGAGGCAGGGCTGGCTGAAGTCTCAGTTCCTCCTGGGGTTTCCTGCAGGCCTTTTCACTTCCTGCCCTGCCGTCCTGGGCCCGGGGACTTTGGGGGTTAGGGAGACCCAAGGGCTGAGGGAGGTGGGACCAGTTGGTAGGACCCCTCTCCCCCCTGTCTCGGCAGGGATAATGCCTCCTCCCACCCTCACCCCAGTGCTGTCCTTAGAAGAAGCTAGTGGCATCTCTCTGGGCCCTTTCCCCATCTGGAAAATGGGGCTCCTGATGGCCACCCAGTTGTTCATGGAGATTAACGTCCTGCGGCGTGAAAGGACCAGAAAACGCCTCTAGCAGGGGAGTGGGGGCCTGAGCCTCGGGAGGGTGCAGGGGGTGGTCGGACCCAAGGTCACCGGGGTAGGGGGGGGCGGTCGGGGAGGAGCCAGGAGGAAACAGATGCCCAAGTTCCTTCCGGGACTCTGTCGGGGTTGGGGGAAGCTATAGGAGACCCTGGACATCTCCGCTCTCCTAAGCTGCAGAGACTCAGGGATCCCGCCCAGCACCCGGGACGTCCAGCGATTCCAGCGCGGGTGGTACCTGGACCGCACCGCCGGCGGCGACCCGTGGCGTTCCCGACCGAGGAGGTGGGGCCCACCGAGGGCGGGGTCAGAGAGGCGCGGCTGAGCGCCTCGCCTAAGGTTGGAGGGAAAGCGTGGGGCCAGAGGACAGTCCACGGGTGAGGTCAAGGCCAAGTGGCTGCGAAAAGCGGAGGGACAGGACGAAGAGAGCATCGAGGTGGCCCGGTGCTTTCAGCTCTTGTCCTCTGAGTCGCGCAAGGTCTCAGCCCCCTTGTGCGTCCGGAGACCTTGACTTCCTGATGATCTGTTGGAGGGTGGGGGACGCAGCACCCTCTCACCACCTACTCCCGTCTCTTTTTCCAGCTGACCTCGGAGTTGTGCCCGGGGAGCAGGTGCACCAGTGGCCTCCGCTGAGCCCCGTCCCCTGAGCGTGTTCCTGCGCAGGATCTTGGTGACCACCTCGGGATATGTACATTCACTGGGGCCTTTGGAGGGTCCTGAAGAGAGAGACTCCTGGGGGTATTCTGTGACGTTTCCAGCGGGACTCCCGGAGGCAGGGTTGGGGGCATGCCAGGGAGCGGGTGCATGGGGGACGGGGAGGGAGACGAGCGCCCGCTCCCAGCCCCCCAGTCCTGCCGCGCCCCCGCGACCTCAGGCTCCTGGGCGCCCCCTCCCTCCCACAGGCAGCTGGAGCCCGAGTCACCAGCTGGCTCCCCGGAGACC